GGGCATATATCTAGATTACAAACAAATAAGAGAGTCAGGTGTGTTTTAAGAGAAGAATTTAGGCTGGGCACAGTGGCTCACGCCTATAATCCCAGCACTTTGGAAGGCCAAGATGAGAGGATTGCCTGAGCCCACAGGTTTGAGACCAGCCTGGGCAACTTGGCAACACCTCATCTCTAAAATAAGTCAAAAAATTAGCTGGGTATGGTAGTGCATGCCTCTGGTCCCAGGTACTTGGAAGACTGAGGCAGAAGGATCATCTGAGCCTGCGGTGACCAAGAGCGTGCCACTGCCCTCCAACCTGGGTGACAGACTCCAACTCAAAAAAAAAAAAAAAGAGATAAGACCTTGATTTTTCTGACCAAAATATAGAAAATGATCCTTCTGTTTCTATGTGAATAAGTTCAGCATCAGAACTTTGTTGGGAAAATGTAAACTTATTGATCTTCCTGGCATTTTTAGTACCAGCCAAGGAAGGAAGCTCTTCCCTCACTCAATGAAATAACTTCAGGGTCAAGGATGTTCACTCCATGAGATTGTTACCAAGTGAGTGTGGTGGTATCCTTTTAACTGAAATGAGAACAGCACTTCCTAGTGTCAGAAGTTCATCTTCAAGGTCACTGAATAGTGAACATTTGCTAGGGTAAGCAGAGCTGTGCCTTGGATTAAAACAGGTTGTGATACAAATGAAACAGGGGCTCTTGTCTTTCCTATGCATGTTGCAGAAGGAAGAGTTGGGATACTTATCAGGAAAATTTGTTGAAAATGCGTATTGAAGGCTGAGGGGGAAGGATCTCCGGAGCCCCAGCAGGTCGAGGCTGCAGTGGCCGGGAGCGGCCACTGCACTCCAGTCTGGGCGACAGAGTGAGACTCCTACTCAAAAAAAAAAAAAATGCGTATTGATCTCTGCAGATTTGATAGAAATACTTAATTGGATTATTGTATTTTAATAAAGTATTTTACATGTTTTACTATAAAATATTTATTATGCACCTTCTTTAATTGTGTTTTTTTTATTGTGTATTCATACTGTATAACAAGGTACGTTGGCTTTATATATCTCTTGAAATAAATGGCCTTAGCAATAATCTGATAGTCCAGGTAAAATCCGCAAAATTTAGGTGAAAGGAGGAGTATATCTGTGCAAGGGAAATTCTCAAAAGACAAATATTCTTCCTGCTCTGAGACCACTTTAAAAAACAAGTTTAAAAAGAATTCGTTCTCTTTCTCATTGTCCTTGTCGTAGGTATTGTCATCATCTCCTCGTCTTCATTCTTTTTCACTGAAAATAGGGATTTATTTAATCACAAAATTTGCCACCTAAGTGTAATAGCAGATTTAAATAACTATATTTCCTGTTCTGTAGGGCAACATTTTTAAACATGGGTTTTAATATCTAAAATCCCTTTACTGACTATTTTTGCAAACATCTCAGTTGGCAATACATTTCTAAATAGTTATTATTATATCTCTTATAATTAATAGTTACTCAAATTACATTTATTTTATTTTATTTTTTATTTTAAAGATGTGGGGTATAATTCAAGGTTAGGTATGCAAACGTTGATTATGCAGGTACCCTTGTTGATGAGGTATACCCCTCCCTCCCCTGGCAGTTTCCCACTACTGCCAATCCCTTTTTTATAGTATTATGATAATTGTTCACAGTCCACTTATGAGTGAGATCAAATTATATTTCTTAGCAGTATCTAGTTCCCTTTCTTTTTGGCTAGGATGAGAGCCTTGTGTAGAAAATTACAGACAGACCAACTGTAAATAAGAACTATAATAATTGACATTTAGGCACTATGAATAAATTGACCAGAAGTTAAAAGTAAGACAAATGAAAACCTATACCCTAAATATTCTGTTAGGTAATCTAGAATCTGATCATTGAAAGGGATATCTACTTGGAGTCATGTAGTCCATTTCCTAATGCCAGAAATTGGAATCATTCTTTTTAAAATATTAATTCCAGGTGAAGTAGGGACCAAAGGAAGGCCCAAACTTTACCTGTACGATGACCACTTATGTACCTAACCCTGAATTATACCCTATATCTTTGAAATAAAAAAATTTTATATTTAAAAAATATATGTGTATATATAAATAAATTCCTGGAATCCACCCTGAGATTCTTGCTCAGTAAATTTGGGGTATGACCCAAGACTATTTGCCACTGGGCTCATTTGGAAACTGTTCATTTAGTCTAACATTCTAATTACTGGATAAAGCCCTTTGTCAACATTTTGGTAAGGGATGAGCTAATTTTTATTCACTGCAGTGAAAGAGCTGGATATTATAAGTAGGTCTTTCTGTTTTCTTCAAAAAGCTCATGGAAGTTTATAATTTCAGTGAGCCAAAATTTCCTTCTTTGGAATTTTCACTCATTGCTTCTGGTTTTGTCTGTTATAGTCACAGAAAATGATACCTAGATGTTTAAATTTGCAGTTCTTTAGTTATAGAGAACATGCATTCCTATGCAAATATCTTTTGGTTTTGTATTAAGTACTTTCCCAATTTTTCTATTGGTGTTTTTTTGTTTTTGGGGTTTTTTTTTTGATTTGGAGTCTCACTCTCTCACCCAAACTGGAGTGCAGTGGCCACTGTCGGCCACTGCAGCCTCGACCTGCTGGGCTCCAGCGATCCTTCCACTTCATCCTTCCAAGTAGCTGGAACTAATTTTTTGATTTTTATTGTAGAGATGAGGTCTTGCCAAGTTGCCCAGACGGGTCTCAGACCCGCGGGCTCAAGCAATCCACTCACCTCAGCTTCCCAAAGCACGGGATTACAGGCTGAGCCACCGAGCCCAGCTAGTGTTTCATTTTTTAATGAATTATAAGAACTCTCTATATACTAAGTGTATTAACTCTCTGTCTCATATTGTTATACATATTTTACTAAATTATAGTTGGTCACTTACTGATTTTGTGTGAGTGTGTGTCAGGGTATGTGTATAAATATATATAATCCCGAATTTCTGTTGAGCATTTTAGTTCTTTCCCAGTTTCATGCCATCCAGAAATTTGACAAGCATGATATCACCTATACAATATCATACATTAAAAATTCAAAAATTATACTAAAACTTCCCAAATCATATACTTCTCTAGAAATAATGTAGCATGACAAGCTATAAAGGATATTGACTGTTGGCGGAAAATTCCACTCCCTTTGTTTAAGTTAATCCTCTCTGGTTTTTACTGTAAGGTGTTTTTTTTCTTTGAGTGCCCTGTGTGGTCCTTTTTAAAAAGAAGCGTCATTATGCTTCACATTTTTAAGCTTCTGGCATGCAGAGACTGTTAATTTGCTTATTTAGAACTCAGCAAGCTATTTTTGTTTGTTTCTCTCTTTTCTTTTTAACTTTCTTTTGTAGCTTTTGTAGTAACCAGAACTTAATGTCAGACTTGACTTTAGGTTGTTTTCAACTACCTTTTGAGTTTTATTCTATCTGTCCCCTTTCCAAGGCCTCTTAAGAAGTTTTGTGTTGCAAAACCTGTGACTGATGACTCTGTTCATTCACTAACCCCAAATGCTAGTTTGATCAGGAAAAGACTTCCCTGTAAGCTGGAAATCTAGTCCTTACAAGCCACCAAACCCAATGAAAGCTGTGTGTATGTTCCAGTGGAAATTTGGTTGCCATTTCAAAAATTAACTACTTGTTCACAGCCAAAGCAAACTGAGTCCAGAAGACTGCATTAGACCTGACGTGTTCTAATTGATTGGGCTAAATATAAGTATGGTTAAATAATTACCAAGCCTTAACCGTGCAGACTGTTATTTCGGTCATTCGTATCGGGGAAGATGATAATCCCTATATAGTTCTGCCAAGTTCGCCGTGTTGTTCTTTTTTCGTAAAGTAGCCTGCTATGTGTATCAATGCTTTTTCTTTCCTTTGTATAGATAGCATAGTAAATTTAAGAAGTAGAAAGTATTAACTGGGCAATGAGGAGGATAAAGTAGAAAGGAAAGACTCATCTTTTCTCTTTCTGTCCCTCTCCCTTTCTCCTTTCCTGGGTGGATAGTGAATTAGGGTAACACATTGAGGTATGAAGGATGGTGAGCCAACTTTACACCTTCTTTTGCCGAATCAGAAGTATTTGAGCACCACATCTGTAAGAAAAATTCTAAATATATATGCCACTTTCTATTTTTTTTCAGTACCCAGCTTCAGTCTCCATGTCACAGATACTCTGTAAATATAGTGTACTATTATCTCAGTTTCTTCTGGATTGGCTTATGTGGTCTCTCTCTTTAAGTAAGGTATTCAAGAGGAAGGGGAAAATTAAATTAGTATATGCGGTTCTAGTCCTAGACTAGTACTTAAATCATGTAAGTTGCAGATGGATAAAATGCACTTGTCTCTCCTTCACTGCCAACTGTAAAATAAGAAATAAAAGAGGTAGCCAGCATAAACTGCTGGAGGACATAAACTCTGTCACTAAACATTAATTGGTGAGGTTGATCAGCCTACTGTTGACAGGCATAGCAAAAGGCTTTCTGAAGGCCCTTCCTGATATTATTGCAAGGCAAAATGTCAAGTGAAAGTTACAGGTGGTGAAGAAGGAGGTAGGGGGGATATTCTCCCTGTGTATCTAAGGGAGAAAAAAATGTGGCTCTTACAATGTTGAAGTCTTAGTTACAACAGAGCCATTTCAAGCCTCTGTTGGTAAGCCGAATTTATTATCCTAATGAGGTCAGCTTTGTGGTAAGGCTTTTAAAGAGAAACAACAATAAGTATTTAAGTATTTCTGGCTTTCATTTACTTTCCTGATTAATTTCAGCCTACATGGTTTTGTACCATAACTATATATTTTTTGTTTTTATACCTTAGTCTCCATTGCC